GAGCAATCTCGGTGATAACTGCCAAATGATACAGCAATAAAATGTTTCGTATCATGAATGCAAAAGTTGATTCAGACAACAGTATTGCAAAGGAGTAATCTCGGTGATAACTGCCAACTGATATAGCAATAAAATGTTTCGTGTTAAGAATGCAAAAGTTGATTCCGACAACAGTATTGCAGGATGTCAATTGACAACTGATACAGCAATAAAATGTTTCGTATCAAGAATGCAAAAGTTGATTCAGACAACAGTATTGCAGAATGTCAATTGCCAACTGATACAGCAATAAAATGTTTCGTATCAAGAATGCAAATGATACAGCAATAAAATGTTTCGTGTCAAGAATGCAAAAGTTTATTCAGACAACAGTATTGCAGGGGGCAACCTCGGTGTCGTTCCGATCTTTTTCTTCGACGGGAGCGAAGCAGCGGCTGGAGCATTGAGCGCCGCATAGAGCCCGCGTCAACAGACGCAAGACGCTCGGCCGGCACACGAACACCACGAATATCAGAACTCCCTGCATGATGTTCACGAAATCGAAGAAGATCCTGAAAAATAAACCGAAGATGTAGTTTGGCATTACCCTGAAATTCATGTTCCGTGAAGCATTGTGATTTCGAAACAGAATTTACGTACGAAATCGAAGAAAATCATGAAAAAAACGAATATGTTGTTTGGCATTACCCTGAAATTCATGTTCCGTAAAACATTGTGATTCCGAAACAGAATGTAAGTGGTGGTCTAGAGAACACTCTTCCCAATAATTTTTCTTTTAGAGCGTTTTCTAATAACTCAGAAATGATCGTCATTCGTCAGCTCGCCACTCATTTAATCATTTTATAAACTAAACCAATAGAAGGCAGCTCATCAACACGGCCGGTGAGAAGAGTTAAATTGTTTTCAAATTATGATTTAAAAATTTTTTAAAATTTTGAGAAGAGTTACGAGTTGTTTTAAGAGTTTTTTTTAGAAGAGTTAAATTGTCTTCAAATTATGATTTAAAAAATTTTTAAAATTTTTAAAATTATGAACTCAACAGGCATATCATTTAATAAACTAAACCGATAGAAGGCAGCTCATCAACACGGCCGGTGAGAAGAGTTAAATTGTCTTCAAATTACCCTGTTAGAAAAATTACCGTTAACGTTATTACCGGCGTTTCAGTGGCCGGTCGGAACGTGAANCAAGAAAATCAAAATCATCTAATAGAAACAAAATCATCTAATAAAAAAATTACCAAAATCAAGAAAATCAAAATCATCTAATAAAAAAATTGTCAAATAAAAAAATCAAAATCATCTAATAAAAAAATTGTCAAAAAAAATCAAAATCATCGAATAAATAAAAAAACTATCAAATCAAGAAAATCAAAATCATCTAAAGCGAATTTAAATCTAATCTATAAGGGATTAAAATATAAAAAAATTCAAGACACTGACTGGCAAACCAGCAGGAAACAGCGCCGAAGTGCGGGGCGGGAAGAACGGATCCTTGCATGGTAGGTAAGGCGTGTCGCAGCAGCGCCAGCCCAGCGATGAAGCCTGCCACGCCGAAGCTGTACAGACACTTCCATCGCAGCCTTACTACCTGCATCTTGTTGGAGCTCATGAGACCTGACCACCTGCGTACAGTATTGTTCAGTTAATGTAGTTATGGCTTAAGTCACGCCTGGCCTATATAGACACTTCCAGCGCAGCCTTACTACCTGCATCTTGTTGGAGCTCATGAGGCCTGACCACCTGTGTACGGTAGTATTGTTCAGTTAATATAGTTATGGCTTAAGTGACACACTTCCAGCGCAGCCTTACTACCTGCATCTTGTTGGAGCTCATGAGACCTGACCACCTGTGTCCAGTATAATTGTTCAGTTAATGAATTGTTCAGTACAATAGTATTGTTCAGTTAATGTAGTTAAGGCTTAAGTCACTCATGAGACCTGACCACCTGTGTACAGTATTGTTCAGTTAATATAGTTATGGCTGTAGAGACACTTCCAGCGCAGCCTTACTACCTGCATCTTGTTGGAGCTCATGAGACCTGACCACCTGTGTACAGTAGTGTTGTTCAGTTAATATAGTTATGGCTTAAGTGACACACTTCCATCGCCGCCTTACTACCTGCATCTTGTTGGAGCTCATGAGGCCTGACCACCTGTGTACAGCATAATTGTTTAGTTAATGTAGTTATGGCTTAAGTGACTCATGAGACCTGACCACCTGTGTACAGTATTGTTCAGTTAATGAATTGTTCAGTACAGTAGTATTGTTCAGTTAATGTAGTTATGGCTTAAGTCACGCCTGGCCTATACAGACACTTCCATCGCAGCCTTACTACCTGCATCTTGTTGGAGCTCATGAGACCTGACCACCTGTGTACAGTATAATTGTTCAGTTAATATAGTTATGGCTTAAGTCACTCATGAGACCTGACCACCTGTGTACAGTATTGTAAAGTTAATATAGTTATGGCTTAAGTCACTCATGAGACCTGACCACCTGCGTACAGTATTATTGTTTAGTTAATATAGTTATGGCTTAAGTCACTCATGAGACCTGACCACCTGTGTACAGTATANCAAGCGACAGCTGCTCTACAATGAATCACCTGAAACAAATTGAAATGGATAAATACTGTCTCTTATACACATTAGAATAGAATAGAATAGAAGTGTCGGCACTGAAGAAATAGGCCCATGGCCTGTTACCGATTCTTGAATTTTTCGTGACTTGATTTACAAGGGGTCCGGCCTTTGGAACCCGATCTTTCCATAACTGACGATTGATTGAGATAGCTGCTGGACTTATTGCCTGGTCCGTAATTTGCTTGGCATTTTAAGACTGAACATATGCTCATGCATAGCGTCGTCTAGTCTGTCCTTGAAGATGTTCATACTCGGAGCGTCAACGATGCTATCAGGGAGGCTGTTCCACATGTCGGTGACTCGAAGCGAGAAGAAATGTTGAGGATGTCTTACATTTATCTTCTCTGCTTCTCTCAAGCAGAGGCCGACGTCCCGTGAAGAAAATTATGCATAAATAATATGTTGATGTCGTTGGTTTAATAGCATTATTGCGTTCAATTGAAGGAATAACTGAGTTTATGCAAGGATTACCACCGATCACAGGCATGAATCAATTAAATGGAGACTCGCAGGTTTACTCAATAAAGATCATNACATATTAGCAGCACCAAAATATTAAACGATTTCACGCCGTGTTCATTTGATAATAGATTCATACAAGAGGCTCATAATCGTTCCACTGGATGGTGCAACTTCTGTATGGGCTGCAAACATACATAAACATACGGAAGCCAATTTAATTTAACATCTTTGCACAGAACTCTTGTGTAAAAAACACAATAAAAACGGCTATATAACTCCTTGCACACAACCCATTTATTAAAAACAACTAAAACCAAGGCAATATAGTCTTTTGCACTGAACGCTTGCATTAAAAACAACTAAAACCAAGGCAATATAACTCCTTTGAACAGAACGCTTGCTTTAAAAACAACTAAAATCAAGGCAATATAAGTCCTTGGCACAAAACCCTTGTATTAAAAACAACTAAAACCAAGGCAATATAACTCCTTTGAACAGAACGCTTGCTTTAAAAACAACTAAAACCAAGGCAATATAACTTCTTGCTTGGCACAAAACCCTTGTATTAAAAACAACTAAAACCAAGGCAATATAACTCCTTTGAACAGAACGCTTGCTTTAAAAACAACTAAAACCAAGGCAATATAACTTCTTGCATGGCACAAAACCCTTGCATTAAAAACAACTAAAACCAAGGCAATATAACTCCTTGGCACAAAACCCTTGTATTAAAAACAACTAAAATCAAGGCCAAATATCTTTTCTGCACAGAAATCTATCATTAAAAATATACTCATACCATGACAACTAAATGCCTGTACACCGGCTTTTTTAGTGCGAGTCGTGAGGCGAATTATAAAAAAAAACTCGCTAGTAAAAACTGGGTGATTTCTTGCCCATCTTATAGCACGATTACCACATGCTTTGAAAACCATCAAGTTTTAGTTTTAACATTAAATGCTAAGTAATGAATAGAATTTAAAGCTAGGAACTCACCACAGGGAGGAGAAGATCATGATGCAGATGACGTTCAGCCACAAGAAAGCAGACAAGAAACTAAAGTGCGACAACGAAGCTGTAAAAAAACGAGTTTTTCAATAATATAAATCTCAACATTAATAGTTCTTCAAAGGAAAAATGATCAATGGGTTGTAAAATTGGTTTTCAAAAAGTTTTTGAACGTGGAATCACCAGAAAAGGACTTGAATCACTGAGGATAATCTACTTTAAGAAAGTAACCAAAACCATTCAGTATAAACTCAATGACGTTATAAATGTCCAGGAATGTACATATATAAGCAGATATGTGACTGACATTGCGTGGGAGATTGAAATTTGCTCTCTTGAAATAATTTTAGTCTTTTAGTCACTTAGTCTAACCTATTATGACGCACATCGTTGACTCCATGAGATCATCTCTGCCCCACATGCCGGCGACCATGATGATCTGTGCGCATGCCAGCATACCGACGCTACACATGAAACACTTGGAGAGCTGGTCCGCCCTCAGCTCCTTGACCACACAGTACGCCAGCAGCGTCAGTAGTAAGAAGCCAGCGCTCACCAGCAGGCATACCGGGTACACGGCGCGCTTGAAGCTCTCTTGAGAGTTTTCCACAGTCTGTGACAACAAATAAAAACAATAACTCAATAAGAATACGTTATTAGATTCTTATAGTGCAAATACGCCAGCAGCGTCAGCAGTAAGAAGCCAGCGCTCACCAGCAGGCATACAGGGTACACGGCGCGCTTGAAGCTCTCTTGGGAGTTTTCCACAGTCTGCGCCAATGAATTTAAACAATAAGAATGCGTTAATAGATTCTTATAGTATAAATAAATTACGCAGCATTATGTTCATCTAAGCCAATTTTAATTTTATACCAGCGAATCACAATGTTATACCAGCAATGGGCACGAGTGTCGTGACCAGACAAGAATATTTTTCCGAACGCAACTGCAACAAACAAACGTGTATTCAAATCCACGTATTTCAAATTAAACTAGGGTAATATTTGTATTTCAAATTAAACTAGGGTGAAAAGATTGTATTTGTCAAGTGTTCGAGCCAACACACGGCCCCATGACGAAAATGGCAGGCTGAGGAACTACAAGGCAATTTTCTTGGCAACTAAGCCACTGTTTTCGGATGCGTTTTATTTCAGGGAGACCGATGCTCATGATGGGGCCAAAGCCTACACATGACCAAGCGCTAGTATAAAAAACTGAAAAATAGTCTCTGCACTGGATCCAAATAATTTAGAAATGGATTTCAGTGTGATAAATTATTTTCTAAATCGTACAAGATAAGTTGGTTAGTTGGTAGCAAAACGATCAAAAATATGACCCGGCTGTGTTAGGGCTGATGACAAAAGTTTAATAGAAATTGATCCAACCGAGAGAAGCCAGCAGCAGATGCTCAGAAAAGATCCAGAGTTATGGCGCTACATGCGTTAAAGCCTGAGATGGCCGATTAATGATTTTCTATAGTCCGTCATTTACGTTCTTCTAACGAATTGAACCTCGCAACAAGAGGCCCTGATTACCCATCCACAGTGCCTCCAGTGTAGTGCCATGTCATGTGTTCGCTGTATTATATACATTTTTAGTTAATTTATCCCTTCCTTTTGGTGAGGTTTTCCCTAGCTTAACTTGCAATGAACAGCATTAATGCTGTGAGATCGCGTGTATATAAATGCTATACTTAGGAATAGGAATTTATTCGACCAGAATCTTGATGGCCGCCATCACGGTGAAAGCCTTCGTGAGCAATTACGTCCTATAATTGTGTCTATTTTCAGTAGGACTTATTAGCCATGAGAACTCAATGTAAATTAACTTAGAATAGAATAGAAGTGTCGGCACTGAAGAAATAGGTCCATGGCCTGTTGCCGATTCTTGAATTTTTCGTGACTTGATTCACAAGGGATCCGGCAGGAGGCTTGTTCTGCTGAATATTGTTTATGGTTTTTGTCCATAAGTGTATAGTAATATATAGATGAGGCTCTGGAGCATCACTACCCGAAGGTGGGAGGCTTGTTCTGCTGAATATTGCTTATGGTTTCAGTGAGTATGACGATCTGCTCCAACTTTCTTATGGTATCATTGAGGAAGATGATTGAGGCTTCAGACTCGGAGCATCAAGGCATCAGGCGTGTTGTCTACTTACCTTGATGTTAATTATTGCGTCATTAATTGAATTTTGCCACTGAATAATTAATAATTTCATTATTAAGTGTTGGTTAATGAAGTATTTATGTTTATGATATGTATGGTTATGGTCAATGTATAATCTCTTTCTGTTTTTTTTAGACGCTAATAAATTTTTGTATTTAAGAATGAATAATTACATTTGAGAAGGAATTTCATTATTTAATGTGATTATTTATTTAATTACATTTAAGAATGAATAATTTAGAAAGTGATGTGAGAAACATGAGTCAATGTTGTTACTTTATTACCTCTCATTGACTTCATATTGCGAACTCAACCAAGTAAAGCTCACTGTTTTGTACAAACGAGAATACCTACGTTTACGAGTTTGGATCTGAGACATTTACAAGTGTTGAGAGTCGTACCTAAAAAGAACGTTTATGACAATTGTGGCCGTTCAGAAAGCGTACGCATGGTCAAAACTGACCTCCGATTCAAACAAATAATGACGACTTAAAATTCAAATATTCAGTTACTTAATTAATTGTAATATTTTTTGAAACCATTTTATTTTATTAGCTCCACTAAAGAAAATCTCACCGTTTTGTCTCATCAATGCTACTACTCCCTGACACCTTTGCCACACAGGAGCTCAAGTTCAAGCTGTACAAACGCAAGGCTCGTATCTTGGTGGACCTAAAGCGGCACTTGGAGGCTCGGGACTCGTTTCGGCAGGCACTCAAATGGCTCGACTGGGCCAAAATGGATCGTGATAAGAGGATGGAAGTTCAGAAAGACATACAGAAGTGGCTTAGCATATTCGAGAGCGGCAAAGTCGTCAAAAATGGTAAGCTTTGTGCTGGAATGAGGAGTTGGTCGGTATTGAATCAAATGACCATAGGTGCTTGATTACTAAAGATAGATTTTGAAAAGTTCTCTCTGGGATGCAAATGGGTCGTTTGCTGGTATAACAACTGTCATGCAGTAACAAATCTATTGTTCGTCTCATGTGTTCTAGAAAAATCTAGTCCTGCCCTCCCCAATCTCAGAAAATTCCTCATTTTAAAACCATATTTCCAATTTATCCCGAAGTTGAAATTCCTTGAATGGTATTTCAGGTAATATTTTTCATTCTTCCCCATTCCCTTCGTGAAATTCTACCCTCTGATCTTTTCCCCAAACTTCACAGTGCTATAAAACTGTACTTGTGTTGGTTTTGCAGTGGGAGACTTCCGTGTGAAGCTGTTCCCCACGGTGCCGCCGCTGACCCAGGGCCCACACGCCGTCTTCCCGACGCTGTCCAGCAAACTCGAGATGCGATACTCGCCCACGCAGGGCCGCTACGTCGTCGCCGCTGAGGACATCAAAGTTGGCGACGTTGTCTGTACCGAGAAGCCTTACGCCGCGGTCCTGCTTTGGGAGGAGTTCGGCACGCACTGCCAGAATTGCTTTATTATGTAAGTTGTCAAAGCTATCCAGTTTAGTGAAGGGATTACGCATTGCCAGAATTGCTTTATTATGTAAGTTGTCAAAGCTATCCAGTTTAGTGAAGGGATTACGCACTGCCAGAATTGCTTTATTATGTAAGTTATCAAAGCTATCCAGTTTAGTGAAGGGATTACGCACTGCCAGAATTGCTTTATTATGTAAGTTATCAATGCTATCCAGTTTAGTGAAGGGATTACGCACCGCCAGAATTGCTTTATTATGTGAGGAGTGGTCGATAGCTATCCAGTTTAGTGTAGGGATTGACGATGTGAGCCTGTGAATCGTCTGCAAACTGTAGTGATCAACAGAGATTAACTTAAGGGATTCAGGTGTAATGCTTCATTCTGCAAGTAGTAGTAGAAGCTTTGTATTTAACACGGGAAGTGAACAAACGTGTGAGCTGTCATTGCGAAACTCAGATGTAAATCAAATTGAGTAGTAAATTTTAAATGTATCTAATGTGTAAACTTGAAGCTGTAAATCGTTCTACTGTGTTTATTTTGAGCATAAAAGAAGATTTCTATTTTTCAGAACCCGTGCGCCGATACCGTGCACGACGTGCTCGGGCGTCGTGTTCTGTTCGTCGGACTGCCGTGACACGGCTTACTTCCACAAGATCGAGTGCAACATCAACGATCTACTGCATGGCTCTGGCATGTCCATTAACTGCTTCCTCGCCTTCAGGATGTTAACCCAGACGCCCCTGACTTTCTTCATGAAGAACAAGGAGCAGCTTGCGCTCGAGGAAGATCCAGAGGTCAGAGTGCCGTATTGTGATGCAATAATTATGAATTTTTCAGAAAGTTACTTAGTTTGTCTCAGGGAAGAATATCTTGTGGTAATCCTTCGTCCTTGTACGAGTAATACGAAGAACTTTCACTGGCCCTGTATCACGTTTTACGGGATTTTGAACTAACGATGGAGCTGGACTACGAAACGCTTTTTTATAACGATACGGTGAAATTTTGTAACAGTTTTCTTTTTCATTAAATTCGGGACAACTTAAACATTGGAGTGATCTAATACATTTATAAAAGTTTTTGAATTTATATAAAATAACAATTCTGTCCAGAGAGCAGGGGCTTCAAGTGAATTCAAATAAATTTGGGGATGAACAGAATGAACAGATATTATTTGAATTATTTTGTCATCGAATCATATATACAGTATTTACAGTTCTTAGACTATCTTATGTTGATTATTATTTGAGTGACTTGATACTTTGCCAAAGGGAGTGGGTAATTTTTTAATGTACATGTGTAAATACTAGATCAAAACTAAAAAATTTAACATCCCAAAACATTAATAACTATAACATGATTCGCAGGCGATTCTCCGCTTGAAGCCTCGGGTCAAAGCCTGTGATAATAAGAACGCTAACGCCGACACCGCGACCGAGGCTCTCAACGTCCCGAGTTCGCCGGAAGCTCCGCTGTCTCCGTCGAATGGCTCGTCTGAACACAAGAACTCCAACGGCAACGCAGGGGAAGACTCTGATAAAGAAAATAAAGACAAAGATGAAAACAAAGAGTTGAAAGACGTAAAGTTTCACGAGTTACCCGAGGAAGAACAAAAGCGAATTATTGAGGAGGAGGAAGCACAACGAAAGAAGCTCGAGGAGCAACGATTGCTTGCTGAAGAGCAAGAGTACCAAAAGGCTCGTGAACGCATCGAAGAAGCTCGAAGGAAGAGAGCTGAAGAGCAAAGGCTTAAGGAGGAGATGTTCTGGAGGGTATACCACCTAGTGAGGCACAGCCAAGACAGAACTGTTGAAGATTACTTCCATCGCACCATCATGGCTTGCTTTCTGGTCAAGGCTCTTAAGAAGACAAAGTATTTCGATGACTTCAAAGGGACTGGAGTTGGTGAGTTCCGAGATATTTAGGGTAGGCATTTCTGCCTTAAGTTTGAGTGAGATAAGGAGATCTCAGGAATTATTTAAAGCATGGTCAAATAATTATCGCTAATAAGCATCTAAATGGTGAACAGGAATCGCGGGAAGTCTCACTCCGAGCATAAGCTCTACGGATATGCTATATCTTAATAAGTGTGAATGCTTGTTTGAAATTAGAAACGGCTGATCTCTAGGTTCTGCCGAATGCCTCGGTGTGATCAAAATCAGTATTACGTATTGTGTCTTTTTTCCTTTATGATTTTACAAGAAAAGTTTTTTACTTTTCTTTGGAATAAAAAATGTAAGTGCGACTGAAGAAGCTAGTGTAGAAAGAAAGTGTTTGAACCCAAATGTAAATCTGCTGATTTGATAACGAATGAAAATTCACTAAAAATGTAATTATTATAAATTTCATTCAGGATTATTTGGAGATCGATTGAAATCCTTGCGATATACGTTGTCAATCCACTGTTGATTTAGTTTGTACATATATGGAGCTATCCTCGCATATTAACTGATATTATTAACTTCCCTTAAACTGAGATGTTGCTGCATTTTAATAATGGTTATCTTATAATTGCCCATGACTGACGCATGCATTTACCCTCATTTCTAGTTAAGATCCTTCAGACCGCGGCAGGTACGTCCGAAGAATCTTTTACGTTGCAATCGCTGCGGCTTCACAAGTTTTTGGTAGAGCGTAATTTTGTTAACCCTCTCGCCCTCACTTAGGCAACCCAAGATATTTTACGAATTGTGAAAGACTTAAATACTAGAGCAGGGCGCAAGATAGTGCAATTTGTATTGGTCCACACTTGATTGCGTTCTGGTGCATTTTAAATTAACGTTACAACGTTGATCAGGCTTACTTTTGGATCAGTTTGTGCGCAGCAATGACGAAAATGTTGAAATGGGAGCTAGAGGGTTAACGCTAATCTAGACTGTCCGATGTCGTAGAGCAATCGTCCTGAATAACGCTTGCTACTGAATAACGCCCCTTTGTAAATACGATTACATTATTTTAAAATATATACGATATTTTCTTGCATCGAGAATTCATTTAGCTTTTAATTATTCTGAATTTTGTGTTTTTACAATTATTATCAATTATTCTCAACAAAATGTACATTTAAACAAGTTCACGACGTATTATTAATTTTTTATTATTTGATATCATTTACAACTAATCATGAATTTGTTTTTCCAGTATTGTACTTGTTTTTAACTTACCATGATGTCCGGTGTGCTTCGTTGGGGTAGCTAATCAGCTTCTGCCAGATCCACAGACCTTGTTTCACCACAAAATGTACAAAAAGCCTCAAAACTACGAGTTCTCTGGTGAAGAACACCTGCTGAATGCTAACTATCTATGCTAACAATTAAGAGCTAACTATCTCGAATATCGTTGGAACATTTCACGCATTCAAAAAATTCACACATTCATCCGTGTAAATAATGAACGCGTTGACTTTGACTTGACGTGACGGTTACCTACGCAGGCAAGTTTAAAAAAAAAAACTATTCAATTACGAGCTAACTTTCTCGAATATCGTTGGTACATTTCACGCATTCAAAAAATTCACACATTCATCCGTGTAAATAATGAGCATTTCACGCATTCAAAGAATTCACACATTCATTCGTGTAAATAATGAGCGCTTTGACGCATTCAAAGAATTCACTCATTCATCCGTGTAAATAATGAACGCGTTGACTTAGATTTAACGCGACGGTTACCTACGCAGACAACGAGCTGAAGTTGACCGAGGCAGAGGCACTATCAGGAGGCCTGGTGCTCAGGTTCCTGCAGATCATTCAGTTCAACGCCCACGAGGTGTCCGAGTTCTTCCTCGCCTCCAATAAGTCGCTAGACGGCGCTAAGAATAATAGCCTCGGTGCTGCCATATACCCCACGCTGGCTTACTTCAACCACTCGTGTAACCCTGCCCAAGTGAGGTAAGTGTAGTTATTTCAACCACTCATGTAGATGAGTTGCCACTTCAACCACTCCTGCACAAGCGAGGTGAGTGTAACCACTTCAACCACTCGTGTAACCCTGCGCAAGTGAGGTGAGTGTAACCACTTCAACCACTCGTGTAACCCTGCCCAAGTAAGGTGAGTGTAACCACTTCAACCACTCGTGTAACCCTGCCCAAGTTTAATCGTTATCACTCAATATTATTGTTCATCAATTTTGAAGTTTTATTCAACCACTCGTGTAACCCTGCCCAAGTAAGGTGAGTGTAACCACTTCAACCACTCGTGTAACCCTGCGCAATTTTAATCGTTATCACTCAATATTATTGTTCATCAATTTTGAAGTTTTACTCAAAAATCAAATTTCAATAGAAAAATTAGCATCATATCAACTGTTTCCAAATCGTTCGTGATTTTGTAACCAAAACTAGCATGTATCAATGTGGAAATTGTCTAACTCAAGTCATTCAGTTTGTAAACCATGAACAATTATATGCAGTCTCTGAAGTGAGATCTACGTAATTTCTACCGAAATCGCTTACTGGACGAAAATTATACACGACAGGTATGAATGCATTTGCGGTAATAGCCGTTGAAAATTAATTAATATGGATTATAAATCATTATTATTTTTAATGCTCCGTTTATTTGTCACTCAGGAACGAACTAACGATAGCCATCATAAACCTCGTGATATTTGGTGCAGTTTAGTGAAGGGATTCATGTATTGTAAATTATATTATATGAGTATGGATTATAAATTATTATTATTATTTATGCTCAGATACTTCAGTGGAAACTCGGTGATCACGAGGGCGATCCGTCCAATCGCCAAGGGTGAGCTGGTGCCAGAAAACTACGGTCCCTGCTACTCGACCAAGGGCAGGTCTGAACGCCGGTTGCAGCTCGTCGACAGATATTGGTTCGAGTGTCAGTGCGAGGTGAGGTTTGTCTTTTCGATGAGACCATGAGACCACGAATTGAATTTAATTGTACTTATCTTACGAAATTTATTCAATAGGCACTATGTTTCAGACATTGCTCGATGCATGAACGACTTTAATCGTAAGACAATAAAATTTAAGGTGTATGGCTGTCCATTATATTTGTGGGATATTATATAATATTTGATGGCCGACGTTCGAAAACATGGACTCGACGCGCCTGAAGTTCAAGTGCCATAAATGTCAGGCGCCGTTGCTGGTGCCAGTGGACAACCCCAACCCGCTGTACAAGTGCGTCCGCTGTGGGGACCAAACCAACATCCTCGCCGCCCTCAAGAACCTGCAGGTCAGAACCCATCGGCCGAAGGTGCTAGTCGCTTGAAAGTCTCCTGTTAAAGTGAGGTTACAGATTAAAAACATGCAAAACCTGCAGGTCAGAACTCAGAGGCCGCCGGTGCTTGATTGTCGCTTGAAAGTCCCCCGTTAAAGTGGGGTTACAGATTAAAAACATGCAGAACCTGTAGGTCAGAACCCAGCGGCCGCTGGTGCTTAATGGTCGTTTGAAAGTCCCTCGTTTGAGTGAGGTTACAGATTAAAAACATGCGAACCTGCAGGTCAGAACCCAGCGGCCGCTGATGCTTGTCGTTTGAAAGTCTCCTGTTAAAGTGAGGTTACAGATTAAAAACATGCAAAACATGCACGTCTGAACCCAGCGGCCGCCGGTGCTTAATTGTCGCTTGAAAGTCTCCCATTTAAGTAGTGAGGTTACAGATTAAAAACATGCAAAACCTGCAGGTCAGAACCCAGCGGCCGCAAACGCTTGTCGCTTGAAAGTCCCCCGTTTGAGAGTGGTTACAGATTTAGAACCTGCATATGAGCCTATGAGGATCTTCCTCTTTACCACTTGAGATAAAAACTTGTAGTTTAGAATGGTGTAGAATTTATAGAATTTTGTGTCCGTTTAGAAAACTGATGAAATTTTTTTTGAAATCTGTCGTTCGAAAAAACGATCTAGAACGAATTGAGATGAACTATGGCAAGTATCCTGTTATATTTCCTCTGATATACAAATAAAATGACAAAAATCCAGAGGAGCTTTGCTTCATTAAAAATTATTCATCAATTATTATAGTTTATTATGTTAATTGTTATGTTTTCATATCGTAGTATTTAAATATAACCAAGACACCCAACCAAATTTGAAGAGTCTACGATTAAGAAGAAGTTTGTTTCATAGTTGACACTTGTCATTGTCGATCGACCTCACTTGGGAGACAACTTAATTTCAGAAAGCGTTTCATTTTACAGAACTCGGAGAAAACTTTCCAGGCGGCGACAACCGAGCTCCAAGCGTTCAATTTGGAAAAAGCGGAAAGTCTACTGAAGGAGAACCTGGAGCAGCTGAGCTCCACGCTGTGCCCTCCGTTTAGGGACTATCACCTGACGCAGGAGGCGTACATGAAGTGCATCCTGTACAGCGGCAACTGCAACATCAAGCGGACTCCGGCTCCTCTCGAGTAAAATCTTACCAGGGGAAAAGAAAAATTAGTATGCGCGGGTCGAAGAGGAACGTTTTTGACGAAATTGTATACAAAATTTGATCAGAACTCACTGCAATGAGTGACAGAGAGCGCATTTTCTTGTCCGTCCGTCCGTCCGTCCGTGAAGTCACGGACAGACATGACGAGCACAATAGCGCCTTTTTTTCATAAATGAGAAAATGCACTAAAAATTAGTGTTGCATAGGAAAAAGTCAAAATTAATGAGAGGCAAAATTGGTTTGTTAAGCACCTGAAGGAACTCAATCGTTAGTGTTGATTCAATTCAAGCTGATTCAATCGTTCAATTCAAGCAAACTATCGCTAAGGCATAGGAGAATGATTTTGAAGCTGTAATTCTTATATGATGATGAATGAATACTGTATTGACGTCGAATTTTCTGTGAAATTAAGTCTTGCTTACTTAAAGTTTTCTATAGACGTATGATTCAGCTCACTTCTCTCCGGTTAATGTTACACGAAACCTTCTTCCTCTGCTTCTCATTTTTAGCTAGAAATGTGACAAACTGAAACGCGCATTCCGTCGCCTTGATAAGCTTAATAACAATATAACTTGGCTCTTAGAACATCGTCTGTATGTTGCCACTCACGAACGAAATGACGACCGCTATCAAAACCTGGTGATATTTGGTGCGCGGAACCACGTAACTGAAGCACCGTTGCCTTACGCGCGTGCCTATAATGTTGAAAGTCTCTATTATGTGATCAAGTTTCTGGTGCTTGGCTAAACGCATTGAAAGTGCGCATCATATTATAGAATATTCTCTCTCGGTAGTGATGTTTAATTAAAGCTATTACCTACGGAATGCCTCTGTCCTATGATCCATGTTCAGTGACTGCGGATAAGCAGTTACTTTTTTTTAAGTGGGCCTAGTGTATTTTCCAAGTGAAATCTTCTTGTTTCGAGAAAATTTCTTATTTTTAAAACTCGTTGACGATTGTAGTTTTGTCTAAGTTTGTACCTTGAATTTGCATCTCTCAAGCATCTCACGAGACACTTCTCGCAACAAACATTTAATTCCAGGTTTACGTCAACGAAGTCCATTGATATATTAAAGACTAGCCTTCATTGTTCATGTCATTGTAATTTATTGATAGGTTTAAAAATCTCAATCTATCAAAAGAGCAAGTCGCAATTATTGAAGTATTCTCCAGCTTGCATCAGCTTTGGTTTTTTGGTTATCGCTTGGTGTTTCTAAACGAACTCTGGGCACGTGTAACCTGGGGCATCTTAAGGCCGTAGCGAAATGCAAGGATTTAGCCACTTTGGTAAATTATTCGGTGATAATCAACGATGGATTATGAGTTAACGATTGAATATTTTACATCCAATATCAGTTCCAATTGTTTAATGACATGACATTTAACGACTGATTAAATGACATACCCTCGCTACTAAACTAACATTTTTCTTTTAAGTTGGTTTCGTTTCTATAATCATTGTTTGTTTGTTTATACTTCATTGTACAAAATATCTGAGTTGTTTGTTTTCGTGAGTCTTTACTGGCGCTGCGTCAATGGCGCTAAATGCGTTAAAATATCTAAGTTGTTTGTTTTCGGAAGTCTTTACTTCCAGAGTTATGGCGCTACATGCGTTAAAGCCTGAGATGGCCAATTAATGATCTTCTATAGTCCGTCTTTTACGTTCTTCTAACGAATTTAACCTCGCAACAAGAGGCCCTGATTACCCATCAACCATGCCTCCAGTGTAGTGCCATGTCATGTGTTCGCTGTATTATATATATTTTTAGTTAATTTATCCGTTTGTTTTGGTGAGGTTTTCCTGTGCTTAACTTGCAAGCAACAGCATTAATGCTGTGAGATCGCGTGTATATAAATGCTAAACTTTATACTATGGTAATGGAGCCCTTCGGTGGCAGCTACATAGATTTAATCTACTTGTAATTTTGGCAACGCGAGTTGTTTGGAATTTTAGAAATGCCTATAGATTGAGAGAACTTCGCATAAACGCGTTTTAAAATAAATATTTAATTATGAAGGCTTCGATAAACGACTATTGTATTATATTTTAAGATGTTGCAGACCTGCTACTTCTTCATTAGTCCAACACTCGGGAGCTGGAATTAACTCGACCAGAATCTTGATGGCCGCCCTCACGGTGAAAGCCTTCGAGAGCAATTTCGTCCTTTAATTGTGCCTATTTTCAGTAGGACTTATTAGCCATAAGAACTCAATGTACATTAACTTAGAATAGAATAGAAGTGTCGGCACTGAAGAAATAGGCCCATGGCCTGTTGCCGATTCTTGAATTTTTCGTGACTTGATTCACAAGGGATCCGGCCTTTGACCCCGATCTTTCCATAACTGACGATTATTGTTCAAGAATCTTTGACGGGTAGAATAAGGCAAATGTTGTCCACAAATATTCTCATTAAATTAGTTTCGTCTTCAGCAAACAACGAATTTCGTAGAAATTCTTGTCTAACTGAACCATGACTACACCGACCGTTCTGCCCTGGTGGAGATACCACTGATCGAGAAACTCAAGTCGCAATTTGATGTCTCATTTTAGTCTACTTATATTATATGGTAGGATTGAGTTAGAAAACATTGTCACGAGTGTATTTATAACAAACTTATTAAGAAATTTACTCCGCAAGCTTCTGAACTGTCACGCTTTCGTCCAAATACTATAGGAAAGCCTTAATTTCCGTTCTGCACACCAACCCTGGTGGAGATTCCTGAGAGAAACTCAAGTCGCAATTTGACGTCTCATTTTAGTCTACTTATTAATATTATATGGTAGGATTGAGTTAGAAAAACATTGTCACGAGTGTATTTATAACAAACCTGTTAAGAAATGTACTCCGCAAGCTTCTGAACTGTGTCACGCTTTCGTGCAAGTATTAAAGGAAAGCCTTAATTTACGTGCCTTCAAAATGATAGAAGCGTAAGTCGCAATAGCTTTTGTTGCGTTCGGGACAAGCGTCGTCTCCTAGTGCGCTATATTGTGGTCGTATACATGCATTACGTTTTAGGAGGCCAAAGCTAACACAATATCAAACTGAAGAAGTTGAAATTTTCCACTTCCGAAAAATTCTATGCTAATTATAAATTTCTTGATGTTCTAAACATAGAAAAAGAGAAGTCAAGTCGGTTGAGATTTAATATGGAAAATCGTAAGTGAACTACTTACAAAATTAAACAGGCGTTAGCAACTCTTGGTAGCTCGTTAGTGCGCTCTGCTTCCTAGGATTCGTGGCCTAACTATTTATGGAGGCTTTGTATTCAAAATCTTTGTATTGAATGAATTTGAAGGCTTTGTATTGAATCAATCTTGTATTGAAGCCTTGAGAGATTTGATAGATTTACTTAGACTGCTAAAAGTCAAAGATTGTCCTGTGCTTGAACTCTTTCCTGGGGCCATACTTTCAAAACTCGCTAAGTGAACGTAAGTACTTACGCTCTATTTTCTTGTCTATGATTGGTGGATTTGCTTGAAAGGCCGTCAATGATTGGCTGATGAACTTACGATCTCTTAACTTTTTTTGAAAGTATGGGCCCTGGATTTCTATTCTCCTCGCATCGCTGTTGACCGGCTTGAACAAGATGCTTCTAATAACATCTTGAGAATGATAGTTGTTATCATTTACCTTGAGGAGAACATGCCTTAATTGGAGCTCGTTACTCACAATTTTCACTTTTGAGCGAATAACTTGTGAAATTAATTTATGAGATTGAATTAAAAAACGATTTTGAGAGGACGTAGGAGGAAGATTGCATGCAAAATGACTACTCAAAATATTATTATTAAAAGACTGCACATTTATTTACAAAGATTAAAAGAAATTTCTTACATGGTAAATAAATCACAAATTTGCAATTTCTTTTTGTGATGAAAAATTGAGTGCATGCACTCAATTTGTCTTTTGAAACGCAAATTTATGGCATAAGGAAATCATATTTTAAAATAATTCTAAAATTAATGATTAGACATGAAATGAGCGTTATTGTCGCCTTCGTCTAAGCCATTAAATGACTAATATCAAACACGTCCGCACATCAAACACGTCTGCATATCAAACACGTCTGCACATCAAACACGTCTGCACATCAAACACGTCTGCACATCAAACACGTCTGCACATCAAACACGTCTGCACATCAAACACGTCCTCACATCAAACACGTCTGCACATCGTCACGAATGCCCAGAGAAACGTAGCCGTGACGGCTGCGGTATACAAGAAGGATTCTATAGCCACATCGCCACTGACACTGAACACATAGAATTATTTTTATAAATACATCAAAACATCAATAACAAATATCTTACCACGTAGAATAAGGTTATTACGAAGCGCCACTGGCACCTATCGTTAATATAGTGTCACACATACACGCACAAAGTACAAAGAGACTTGATGCCTTATTTCGATAAAAGTATGTATTGATACAACTTATAAAATGCATTTGTCAATTAAACTCTTGCTGTGATGCTCAAAATCTGAGTTTCTATCGATCAGGGGTTTGGAGATAGCTGGGCAAGTGTTCTAGTTTACAATCAAGACCATATTTCATCCATTTACAATTAAAATATTTTCCTACCGAACGCAGAGATAGGGTAGGAGTTGCCAACTGATACAGAAATAAAATGTTTCGTATCAAGAATGCAAAAGTTGATTCAGACAACAGTATTGCAAAGGAGCAATCTCGGTGATAACTGCCAACTGATACAGCAATAAAATGTTTCGTATCAAGAATGCGAATGTTGATTCAGACAACAGTATTGCATGGAGCAACCTCGGTGTCGTTGCGATCTTTTTCTTCGACGGGAGCGAAGCAGCGGCTGGAGCAGCGGGCGCCGCATAGAGCCCGCGTCAACAGACGCAAGACGCTCGGCCGGCACACGAACACCACGAATATCAAAACTCCCTGCATGATGTTCACGAAGTCGAAGAAAATCCTGAAAAAAAAAACGAATATTTTGTTTGGCCTGAAATTCACGCTTGGTAAAGCATTGTGACTTCGAAACAGAAATTACGTACAAAATCGAAGAAAATCCTGAAAAAAAAACGAAAATGTTGTTTGGCATTACCCTGAAATTCATGTTCCGTATCTTCCCAATAATTTTTCTTTTAGAGCGTTTTCTATTACCTCAGAAATGATCGTCAGCTCGCCACTCATTTAATAATTTTATGAACTAAACCGATAGAGGGTAGCTCATCAACAAGGCCGGTGAGAAGATTTAAATTGTTTTCAAATTAAGAACTCACCAGGCATACGACAAGATGCTGTTGCCGGAATCGTCCACGAAGAAAGAGATGACTTCAAAAATCCACGACACGCCCATCAGGAGGAAGAGTTTCAGGTACTGAACGAAACTGAAGAGCAATAATAGTTTTATCTAAGGAAGGATTTATAAATAATTGTACTAAGGATTTATCTAAGGATTTATAATAATTGTACTTTGTACTGTAAAGCTCTCAAAAATATCAGCAAGGGCAATAATGGTTTTACCAAAGAAAGTCAATTGTACTTCCGTTAGGGAAAGCTTTCAAAAACATCAGCAAGGTTTTAAACAGTGGTCTTTCGATGTGCGTAGGGGTTCATTTACAATTAAGTTTTGAAGTAGATTCTCAAACAATCAGTAAACTTGGTCTCCAAAATTATTATTTCTATAAAATTATTCAGAGTATTAATTAATATTAGTTTGAGGAAGTTAAATATATTCCATTACAAGATATTTTACAGGCGTCTCACACGGTCCATTGCTGCCACTTAACTAAATTAATTTCCTGGGCCTATACTTTCAAAAAAAGTTAAGAGATCGTAATTTCATCAGCCAATTCTTGAAGGTCTTTCAAGCAAAATCCACTAATCATGGACATGAAAATAGAGCGTAAGAACTTACGTTCAATTAGCGAATTTTGAATGTATGGCCCCTGAACGTAAGAAGGTTAGTATCGACAAACTCACTGTGTGGTTGTCCTGTCCGAGTGTTTGATGATGGTGCAAAGTTTGTACGCAGACAAACAGAAACAAACAAGGTTGATGGCGAGCAGGATCGTAATGGGACCGAAGAGGTAGACCGCAAGTGCAGAGGGTTCTGGAAGAAAATATTTCTTTCTCATAAAATCAGTATAAATGAGATTCGTCGTCTAAGAAGTGTGAAAAATCTAAATCATCTAATAAAAAATATTACCAAAATCAAGAAAATCAAAATCATCTAATAGAAACAAAATCATCTAATAAAAAAATTACCAAAATCAAGAAAATCAAAATCATCTAATAAAAAAATTGTCAAATAAAAAAATCAAAATCATCTAATAAAAAAATTGTCAAAAAAAATCAAAATCATCGAATAAATAAAAAAACTATCAAATCAAGAAAATCAAAATCATCTAAAGCGAATTTAAATCTAATCTATAAGGGATTAAAATATAAAAAAATTCAAGACACTGACTGGCAAACCAGCAGGAAACAGCGCCGAAGTGCGGGGCGGGAAGAACGGATCCTTGCATGGTAGGTAAGNGACAAGTTATGGCTTAAGTGACACACTTCCATCGCAGCCTTACTACCTGCATCTTGTTGGAGCTCATGAGACCTGACCACCTGCGTACAGTAGTATTGTACAGTTAATATAGTTATGGCTGTAGAGACACTTCCATCGCAGCCTTACTACCTGCATCTTGTTGGAGCTTATGAGGCCTGACCACCTGTGTACAGTATAATTGTTCAGTTAATATAGTTATGGCTGTAGAGACACTTCCAGCGCAGCCTTCCTACCTGCATCTTGTTGGAGCTCATGAGGCCTGACCACCTGTGTACAGTATAATTGTTCAGTTAATGTAGTTATGGCTTAAGTCACTCATGAGACATGACCACCTGTGTACAGTATAATTGTACAGTTAATATATTTATGGCTGTAGAGACACTTCCAGCGCAGCCTTACTGCCTGCATCTTGTTGGAGCTCATGAGACCTGACCACCTGTGTACAGTATAATTGTTCAGTTAATATAGTTATGGCTTAAGTCACTCATGAGGCCTGACCACCTGCGTCCAGTATAATTGTTCAGTTAATATAGTTATGGCTTAAGTCACTCATGAGACCTGACCACCTGCGTCCAGTATAATTGTTCATAGGGACAGTTGGAGTTATTGGAGTATTGGAGGACAGTTGGAGTTTTCTTGTCCCTCGTGGATGTCGTGTTTCTGACGTTTTTCTACGTTATTTAGAAGTCCTGTGCGATTTATGCGTAGCTAGTGACATTGTTTCTGTTCTTCGCTCCACAGCGCGAGGTGTCTGACGGCGGGTCTCAGCTATGTTTGGGCTTGAGTCGTTCATGTATGCAGGATGTAAGACATTTATCTTCTCTGCTTGTCTCAAGCGGAGGCCGACGTCCCGTGAAGAAAATTATGCATAAATAATACGTTGATGTTGTTGGCTTAATAGCATTATTGCGTTCAATTGAAGGAATAACTGAGTTTATGCAAGGATTATACCACCGATCTCAGGTACGAATCCATTAAATGGAGACTCGCAGGTTTACTCAATAGTGATCATATCGACCTACTTCAGAAGCACTGTAAAAAAATGTGAATGAATCATATATCACGCTTAATTAAAGTAATGCAAATAAACATATAATCTTTCAGAGGAGCGACAGAGAGAATGAAAATTCCTAGACATAGAAAACCGAGTCGATGTTACTGAGCCAATTAAGGTATGCAGAAAATCCCAGGTCCTATACTTTCAAAAAAAGTTAAGAGATCGTAAGTTCATCAGTCAATCATTGACGGCCTTTCAAGCAAAATCCACCAATCATAGACAAGAAAATTGAGCGTAAGTACTTACGTTCACTTAGCGAGTTTTGAAAGTATGGTTCCAGAGGTACAAAAAGAGCAATTGGGGCGCTAACGTTACTTTATTGCCTCACCTTACGACCATCATGCCATAAAGTGCCTATAAAACCCGATGGGTAAAATTAGACAGCGTTTACCATTTGGCTCTCATTAGGGCTGTATTTATATAAGGGTTATTTACGAAGCGCACGAACAATCGAACCTCTGATAAATTCATAATTGATGTGTGAACATTCGGAAGTCGAGGAAATTTATGGAAAAACAACTTATTTATGTAATAATAAGAATAAGTAATAAATTCAACAAATATGCTGGTCTGAATAAACTCTGGAGTGATTAAATCAACGTGAAATCTACATAAAAATACAACAAAGAAATTAAGGTGATTTTTCAAAATTAAGTTAATGAGAACTTGCTAAATAACTTGATAGTAGGAGTCTCAATAACAGTCACAATATAATTGTTACTTGAAGCTTATGTTGTATCAATGAATTTCTAAATTAGTTGAGAAAGTCGGCAAATAGAAAAATACAATAGACTTATGGTGATATAATATAGTATTATAGTATGGCTTTCTCTTATTGTGACATTTTAGTAGTTAGAAGTTGCATGAATATGAATTAATATTGTTGGAAATAACTATTTAAAACAATTTTTTCGTTTTAAAATGATCATAAAACATAAATGCAGAGATCTTGATCAATAACGAATAAAATTGAAAGAGCGTAATTTTTACATCAAACTAAAAAACGTGTACAAAGAAGCGTTGGTATTACGAGGATTCTGCATTGGAGGAAAATTGTCACCGAGCGTACAAAAAAATCGAAGAAGTTACAAACAAAACTTCACATAAGATTATTTCCATCAGAAAGCATAATAATAATTAGTTAAATTATAACCGTTAATGAATTTTCAGCGATGCAAATGTCAACAAAAATATAGTGGTTATTCAATCCTAAAAAATTTGTTGTGAAAGAGCCATTTCCCCGAATCCTTGAGGCAGTAGCGCGACGTATCTCTCACATGTTAATGAAGAGTTTTTACTCGACTGCCGCTCCAAAGAATGCGTCCAAAGAAAGTCCGGGGTGTCCGGGGTGTCCGGGGTGTCCGGGGTGAAGCATATATCGAACCGAATGTCCGGGGTGTCCGGGGCGTCCAAAGAAAGTCCGGGGTGTCCGGGGTGTCCGGGGTGAAGCATATATCGAACCGAATGTCCGGGGTGTCCGGGGCGTCCAAAGAAAGTCCGGGGCGCATAAAAGGAACGCCTCCTTTCAATCTCCTCCATCCGCTGCCCATCAAATATGACGAGCAAGAAACGCGTCCAAGATGCAAAAAAATTTCCGCTACATTTGAATGGAGTCCCGAGCACTGAAGTCGACATTTCTTCCCTCGCAACAAACGTGCCAGGGAACAAGTTATTGAGGCGACATGCCAGATCTCGCAAACAGTCTATATATATTTTTATTTATTATTTTAGTATATTATAGGCAGACGAGAGTCATATAACAATCGTTTGAGGACTTTAACAGTGCACACGATTTATTCTGGAATTGATACATACCGATTAATTCACACCTATATTGAGTTTAATTTTGAATACATATTAGCAGCACCAAAATATTAAACGATTTCACGCCGTGTTCATTTGATAATAGATTCATACAAGAGGCTCATAATCGTTCCACTGGATGGTGCAACTTCTGTATGGGCTGCAAACATACATAAACATACGGAAGCCAATTTAATTTAACATCTTTGCACAGAACTCTTGTGTAAAAAACACAATAAAAACGGCTATATAACTCCTTGCACACAACCCATTTATTAAAAACAACTAAAACCAAGGCAATATAGTCTTTTGCACTGAACGCTTGCATTAAAAACAACTAAAACCAAGGCAATATAACTCCTTTGAACAGAACGCTTGCTTTAAAAACAACTAAAATCAAGGCAATATAAGTCCTTGGCAC